AATGACAACACAAAGAAAAGCAAAAACGATAACAACAAGAGCACCATCCCGAGCACACTCGTGCAAAACGACAACCCGTCCCTGACCCCCGTTGTGATCCATGTCTCTTTCACGACTTGCATGACACAATCAATCGACCAAGCACCTCACGCGCACACCACCGCATCTACCCAGAACACGATCAAAGACTGTTTTTTGGCCGGAGAGCGAAACCGAGAACACAATCAAAGATTGTTTTTTGGCCGGAGGGCGGCACAGAGGAACCGGTTGGAGAGCCGGTGCAGGAAATGGTTTGCAGGCCGCATAAACTGAATCAGGAAGGTCCCTGGGGAAGAAGCGGTCGGCCCTGGCTGTTGCGATGTCGTGCACGCGTCGACACTTGGCAGCACACCTTTTGGCACCGGTGATGCCCGATCCCGTCGGTCTTGCCCTTGCCGTGGACTTCTTAGACGCCAACGCAACGCCAGGTGGGAGGCAAAGGAGACCGGTGGGGAGGTGGCAGCGCCAAGCCTCCTCCCTCGTTGGCATCCACTCCTCCCCGCCTTCTCTGACCGACGGGGCGGTCCTCCCACTCTCTCTTGGCTGGGGCCTAGACCATCAGCCGCGGGAGGGTGTGGGGTGCGGAGAGGCCATGGCTTCATGGGTCGACGGCGAGGGCTCAAGAGAGGATCGAGAGGCGGTGGAGAAGAGGAACTGCGAATCAAGCAAGAGAAAGAAAGGGGAAGGAGAGGTTGTGTGCGCCGGGAGGGTTAAGGCGTGGGCCAGCGAGCTCCTCTCTCTTTTTTCTAACCAGGCCCACAGGTCAGCGAAACATACGGCTGTACAGCAGGCACACCACACAAAACACGTACCCCTATCGTTCTTTTTCCTCTCGCTAGCACAGTAAAAATCGATGTGGTGGCTAGAGCTAGGATGCGCTATTTACGCGACGCTTATTGTTTTGTCCTAATGGTTGGGGTCCGCCATTGCGAGCCGCTTGAGAGAAAGCTATGCGTGCCTCATCATTATGTCAAAAAAAAAATTCTCACGTAACGTGAACATCACAACCATCTTAAAAGGATAAAAAAAAGCATAGAAAAACATTTCTTCCAAAAAAGTCTCCCTACCATTTAAAAAAAATTCTCATTGTGACCAACCAGCATGCGCCACATGGCGTAGCTGGTTGGCCACCATTCTAGCGCCTCTTAATGGGTTTAATGCCCACTCAAAATGGAGCACCCTCCTTCACTGTGTGAGCCCTCTCCTCACTCGGTGAATTTACCAATTATTTGTCTTTTATTAGTTTTAATCACATTTTCATTCATGAATGTTTAAGAAATTTCTTGAAGAATTTTGAATTGAAGAACATTTTCTAATTTGTGAGTATATTTAAAATACATGGACATTTTTAAAATTTCTGTATATTTTCTAATTTGTGAAGATTTTTTTAAATTTGCTAATATTTTTTAAAATTCATGAATATTTTTTTAACAGCTATGGTTTTGTTAATTTAAATAATGAACCCTTTTTTAACTAGCACTAAGCGAGCGGAGAAAAATTAAGCGAGTGAGGGAGCAGAGAGCCGACTTGAGCAAGTTAGGGCTTTATGGGCCACATTTTAGCAATAACTTCATCATAAGCTTCCAAAGGGCTCACACAACCAACATCCACCAACATTGACGTCCAAACTTATAAGGACACCATAACCACGCATTAAACAACTCCACTCTTCTCTCAAAACAAATATCGTATTCAACACCAGACAGCACAATACATGTATAAAAGATCACCGCTAGAACAAAAATGAAACTCAAGTCAACGCAAATAAACCCAGAACAAAACAACTGACAACGATAAACATGCTAGAGAAAAAATTATTCCCACAAGTGAAAGAGGATAATTCGTTTGATGCCAACATTTGGCATTACCAATACTTAGCAAGCCAACAATTGGCAATATTCAAAGTTGTCATAATTAACAACTTCTTGTGAGGTTGGCAAATAAACTTGGTAACCAACCAAGCACTAGCCAATATTTGGCATTTATCAAATGTTGGCATGCCAATTTTTAGCATCAAACCAATCATGCTTAAAAACTGCGCGGCGAGCGCGCGTTTACCTCTAGTCGAAAAGAACTGCACCTATCTCCTGATAAGACAGCAACCTAGAAGCTACACAAGGTTTCGCACTTTCGGCTGGTCGGTCCATCTCCTGATAAGACAGCAACCTAGAAGCTACACAAGGTTTCGCACTTTCGGCTGGTCGGTCCACTGTCCAAACCCGAAATCCACAGGCCACAAACCAAAGCAAAACAAAACCAGAAGAAGAACCCTCCAATGGCGACGGCGAGGAGGGTGGTCCTCATCCCCGGCCAGAGCATAAGCCACCTCACGCCCATGATGGAGTTCGCTGCGGTCTGCCTCCGTCGTGGCCTCGCCGTCACCGTCGCCGTCCCGGACCCAACCCTCACCTCCCCGGTTTTCCGCTCCACCATCGGCCGGTACGCCTCCCGGCTCCCCTCCCTCTCCGTCCACTCCCTCCCTCCCCCTCCTGCCGATGACCACTCCGTTGGCGCCGTGCACCCGTTCATCCGCATGCAGGCTGTCTTCCGCTCCCAGGCACCCGGCCTGCGAGACTTCCTCCGCAGCCTCCCCGCAGTCCACGCGCTCGTGGCCGACATGTTCGCCGCTTACCTCCTCGACGTCGCCGCGGAGGTGGGCGTCCCGGGGCACCTCTTCTACTGCACAGGCGCCGCCAACCTTACCGTCTTCCTCGAGCTGCCTTCATTTTGCTCCGGGAGCGGCGCAGACTTGAAAGATCTCGGCGACGCGCCCGTGTCGTTCCCCGGCGTGCCCACGATGCCGGCGTCTCACTTGGTCGACGGGGTGCTCGACAGCGGGACGGACCTGTACGCGGCTGTGCTGGACGTATTCGGCCGGATGGCGACAGCGCGCGGCATTCTGGTGAACACCTTCGAGGCGCTGGAGGGCTCGGCGGTGGCGGCGATTAGAGACGGGCGCTGCCTCCGCGGCCGCGCCGCCCCGCGGGTCTACTGCGTAGGCCCGTTGATCGCGGAAGGCGGCGAGGAGGAGGAGAGGCACCCATGCCTCCCGTGGCTGGACGCGCAGCCCGAGGGCAGCGTCGTGTACATCTGCTTCGGCAGCCGCTGCACGGCCTCGCTGGAGCAGATCAGGGAGATGGCCAAGGGGCTCGAGATGTCCGGGTACAGGTTCCTGTGGGTGCTGCGCGCGCCTCCTGCCTTCGCCGCAGTCGCCGGCGAGCCGGACGCGACGCTGTCTCTCCTCCCCGAGGGGTTCTTGGCCCGGACGGCCGGCAGGGGCCTCGTGGTGACCGCGTCCTGGGTGCCACAGATGGACGTGCTGCGTCACGCGTCCACTGGTGCCTTCATGACGCACTGCGGATGGAACTCGACGCTGGAGGCGGCGGCCACCGGCGTGCCGATGGTGTGCTGGCCGCTGGAAGCCGAGCAGTGGATGAACAAGGTGTACATTGTCGAGGAGATGAAGGTTGGCGTGGCGGTGAGAGGGTATAACAAACCCGGGGTGCTTGTCTCGGCCGATAATGTGGATGCCACGGTTAGGCAGATCATGGACATGGAGTCGGAAGGTCGGCGAGCGGTCGTCGAACGGGCCATGGCCGTAAAGGAGAGCGCCGCCGCGGCGTGGAAGGAAGGTGGCTCGTCTTGTGCCGCGTTCGCCGAGTTCGTGAAGCAGATGGAGTAAGAGAAGGTCAGAGGCACACCGGGTAAGGATCTGTCGTTGCAGTGGTGCGCACCATTTATGAACTAACATGAATAGAGAGTGTGATGTCCGTATTGAATCTGTAACAATAACATGTTGAATTGGTTGGCACTTGGCATGCCGTAGAATCATCTTATTGTCTTGGAGATGAGCACACTCTGTTTTCCTACCATCCTTTTGTTGCCAAGAATGGGTTTTGGCGTTGTGTGGTGCAAATGATGACAGCAAACGTTTGTTTTTGTGAGGTCATAATTCGACCCCTCTTTTTTGCCTGACTATTTCCTTGTCTTTAATATACAGATAGGAACACAAACTAAAATTATTGTGGTGCAAGCGACGTGTGGTACCTCCAAGGCCATCTGACTGGACGAGACTTGCCTGCTCCCCCGTCGTGTGCCCATCCATGCTTCCGTCTACGTGGCTTATCCATGCTTCCGTCTATGTGGCTTGATTTGATTGGAACAAAATAAGGCCTGGCTCCACCCTCTTAAAATCAGGGGGGAGATGATTAGATTAGAAAGAAAAAAGGAAAAAAGACAGCCGTAGGATGAAGTGGGAGCACAGATGGAAGCACAGGGAGGGAGCAGGCAAGCCGGATCCTATCTGACTAGTACATACATATAAAAGTCTTATGATTAGAAATAAAAAGAGATGTCTTGAATCTCGATGCGTTGATAAAAAGTGAAGATATTTAAGCAGACATTTCGGCACCTGGGTGAACAGTAAATTTTAAAAAAATACAGAATAAATTCAGAAAATATGAAATTTTTACACAGAAAATGAGGGACGATGCTTCGGTGCCTTAAAGCACCTACCTTTGTGTCTATGACATGTGGACCCAACAGATAGCTAGCTCACATGTCAGTGACCCAAAGGCATGTGCCTTTAAGGCACCGAAGCTGTGTCCGAAAATGAGACTCTTCTAGGTGATAGTAATTTTTCACGCTGAAATGGCATCGGAGGAGCTCAGTAAAAAAAACAGAGCTAATTTTTTCTCCAAAAGTTACAACAAAATCCGAGCTCCGATTCTTTTTGTAGCGAGCTCCTCGGATGTCATCTCAGTCCGCAAATTTGCAAGCACCTAGAAGAGTCTTTTATATTGATGTGTATTCAGATTTTTTGAATTTGTTTAGTGTTTTATTCTTTTTGTTAACAATATTATATTTTTGCAGGAAGTTGACTATATTTAGTTTAGCAGGCTAATTAAATTCAGGCAGTGCAACACTACAAGTTTTTTTTTATCAAATTGCACACCACCAAATTAGTCATTTAAATCAAGAAGCCGGAAAAAGACACCAAAGGTTCCCATAATAGTTGGAAAAACACTGCGGCCCTTCCCTCTGGTCACAAACATGGCTATTCTGTGACTGGAGATGGTAAATAAGAACTGAAATTTCCACATCAAGATCAATTTTCAGGCTCACGGTGTTATTATTGGTATTTATTTGTTCAAGTCACTCTGTACATTGTCGTCACCATCATCACTAGAGGCTTTCAGCAAATTGGCATTGCTCACTTCTTGGCTGATTTGAGCTCCTCAATTCTTTCCTCTGTGGCCTTTAGGGCCCCGCCATATTTGCTCACAATCTAAAGCAAGAGCCATGGTTTGAACAATTTTCAGTCAGTTTGTGTTTGATACCAAAGAGAAAGATTGGATATTGCAAAGAGTATGATCTTACTTCTTCAACTTCATCAGGAGTCATTATTAGTGGAGGTGACAGCATGATGTTATCCCCAGCGACCCTGATAAGCATACCACGCTTCTCACACTCGGCACCAAATATTGAACCAACCCCTGAAATCAAACCATAAGAAACTCAGTTGTCCATGCCATTTTTAAGGCTTCTTTTACTCTTGAGATGGTTTATTTTTGTGCAAGTTACTCTCAACTGATTGGTACCCCCTCTTTTTTGTGTTGGCTGCTGATAAGTACTCTTACTAGTTCATCTAAAAAAAGTACTATTACTAGTTTAGAGATGTACCATGGATGGTTAATTCATTTAATTTTCTAACTGGCCTAAAAACTCAACAGTTATAGTTTAAATTTAGAGATGCCCCATGGATGGTTAATTCATTTAATTTCCTAACTGGCCTAAAAACTCAACAGTTACATTACACCGGTGGTAAATAACCAAATTTCCCTAGCATGGATTGCAGAGGAAAAATCGCTAGTGCCTAGGAATTTCCATGCTAGTAAAGCCTGCTAAAAAAATAAAGAATAAAAGGTATAAAGTACAAACCCCATTCTGCAGGGAATGGATCATTTGGCGACTTGTTGTCGACGAATTCAGTTCCAAGTATCAATCCCAGGCCACGTATCTGCATATAGGAGTGCAGAAATTATGTTTTTAAACAACAAAGGAAGAATTAAGTAGTCATAAAAGAAAGAAACCTAAACTACATAATAACTACTTCTCCGACGATCGGACTGCCTGAGAAGGCCTTGATTCCTTCTTGAAACCTTGGGGCAATTTTGTTGACATGTTCGGTAATATTCCTTTCCCTAATACCAATTATTAAAACGATTCATCAGACACATGTATCAACATAAATGGATTGTTGAGTATTGTTATGGGAAGAGTGGTCTACTTATAGATCTTCAGAGCTTCTATGGCAACAGCACAGGCAACTGGATGCCCGGAGTATGTAAAGCCGTGAGCAAAAGAGCCTGTAACAAACAACAGAAGTGCTTGTGAATACAATAGCAAGAGAAAAAGAAGAGTCCCTGCAATATAATTAGCTTTACCAAGTTTACTGCTCTGCGAATGAACTACATCTGCTATTTCTGGGCTAACAAGAATAGCTGCAATTGGCATGTAGGCAGAAGAAAGAGCCTGACAGATGAAAAAACAAGAATAGTACAAAAGAAAATATTTATCAGTCCCTTTGAAGAAAGGAAGTTACCATCCAACAATTAGGTATTTTACTGGCACTGACTGGACTCAGCAACTCACCTTTGCTACGGAGACGAGATCTGGTTGAATGTTATACATATCACATCCAAACATGGTTCCCAATCTCCCAAATGCAGTAATGACCTGAAGGGCTAATTACATAAATTTTCCACCGAGAAATTATTTTACTCTCTTTTTACCTCATAAACTTAAGTTACCTCATCTGCTATTAACAAGACGTCGTACTTCTTGAGGACTGCTTGAATCTGATGGAGGAGGGAAAATAGCACATGGTTAACATTACATGGAGCAAGAGCAACTAACTTTTTGATGTGGAACTACCTAAATTATACAAATAGGGTAAGCGCAGTTAGCTGCACTCAGCAACACATTTTTTTGGAAGAAATACTATGGGAGCTTGAAAATTCAAAAGGAGCAACAGCACACTGCCGCGTATGTAAAGCAATTGGAACTAGCTTTTCAAAATTGGTACCAAATAGAGGAAATTTTGGAGAGATATAACATCTTATTAATAGCAAAGGTGTGCATTTAGATGCACCGCCTAGGACACCATTGTGAGGAGGAGCGAAGAAAAACAGAGAATGCTTCAAGTTATCCTTACAGTTTTCTTTTTCCTAAATGTTAAAACTGCCGTTAGATTTTCAAGAATTCCGAGCGAATGCTCTCGTGCACGTCAGATCCCACGCACAAATCCTAAAGCGTTTGCTCCAACGCACCCTCTGAGCGAACTACGAGATGATGGCACACCTTCTCACGCCTGCCCTTGCCCATTGCCTAGCTTTCGATTTGATAGAAGGAGGCCAACTAAACTGAGCCGAGCATTGTCGAAGATGATTGCCTAAGGCTAGTGGCTGCCCTACCGAGGCCCGGTATACCCAAGCCTCCTAAGGCGCTAGGCAGCGGAGCAACCCAAGCTCCCTAGACTTGTCCAACAACCTGTTGAGGGTGTCTATCACCAGCACAAACCACCGAACTGGAAACGCCGCCAACTGTCCAATAGAAGGGGGCATGTTATCTCTAATTTACAGGAGTGCCATATTAATTTACAATCTTTATTTAAAAGCTAGAATTAAGTACTTCAGAGTTATATGTAATTTAAGGTCACCTTCTCAAAATAAGTCTTTGGAGGAAGGATGACACCACCGGCACCCATCACAGGTTCAGCAATGAAAGCAGCAATCTGGAAAGAGACAAGGGGGAGGGGGGAGGGGGGTGGATACTTCAGGAACCTTTGACCAACATATAGCGTAGGATCCATTATGACAAGAAAATAAAAACATAAACTTTACTGTTTCTGGTCCTTCTTTTAGGATAAGATTCTCCAAGTTGTTTGCAAGTCTAGTAGAAAATTCTTCTTCTGTTTCATCTATATCGCAACAAATTCAATTCATTAAACGTAATATCCTGAGGTGACTGTACAAAAAAAACTGAATTATTGGTACCAGGAAGATGGAAGCGCCAGTAGTGTGGGCAGTCTGTGTGCAGAACAAAAGGTGCCGGTAGATCAAACTTTTGATGAAGAGCAGGAAGACTACGGATAAAGAAGAAATTAGCAAGTGATCACAAATATACCAGAAACATAAGGAGCGCGCCAACTGAGGAAAATAGAACATCCTCCTAAATTATTTTGCACAAACTGAAGGATTAAAAAAAGAAATATTATTTATTATGCAAGATCCTTTGCTCACCCGGATAAACTAGCTGATATTAATGTTGAACCATGATATCTGTAAGAACAGAGAGTCACTATCTTGTTAAAATCATATTATAAAATTAGAATAAATACCATAACGGTAATGCATGTGTCCTGGTGAAGACTCGTTACAATGCAATTATTGGACTATTCAATTTGTTATTAGTTGTGATGCAAAATTGTTACAAAACAAATTTCATGTCATGATTGCAAAACACTTGGCCTGCAATTCAATATGATGTTGCTATGCCGCTGAACGAATAATATGCAAGTCAAACTGGATTCGGAGTGCTAGGTAAAGATTTGTGAATAAATGAAGCAACAAGATATGTACTGGTATTAGGTAGAATAGAGTAGTAAAGAAACTGAAAAGGAACTTTACGATTTTGAGCGTGCAATAAATTTCTTCTTCTTTGGTCTCCCCAGTGCATTGTTATAATACCACACTAGTTTCACCTGTAAAAAACCAGCATTATCAGGAGTGGAGGAATGGATCTAAATAGCGATCTGGAAAGGCATCAACGGGGACAGAGCAAGATTCAGCAATAACAGGTCATGTCGCAGTGAAGTACTCTGTCCGATCCAAAATAAGTGTCGCAGTTTTGAACTGGGGTTAGTTCAAAACTGTGACACTTGGATCGGAGGTAGTACTAAACTAGTTTATGAGTACTCCATACGCTACTCAGGCAGGTGGACTAACTGTAGGAACACAATATAAAATTCACAACCATGATAGTGTTAATATTCCTGTACATAGAAGATCAAAAGCATAGTCGTTTCTTCAGTGGCAAAATGTATATTTTCGACAGGAGGTGACACTGTGTATTGTTTTGACTATTCATGATTGAGCACAGTGGGCAGATAAGAAAAAGAGGTGCTTAAGATATGACCATCATAAACTCGAAATGACAGTTTGTTTAACCCGTACCTGGGAGTCATTTGCTTCTGAACCACTATTTGCGAAGAATACCTTTCCCATTTCCCTTGCAGTAAACATGTTGAGGACGTCATTTGCAAGATCCTGAATTAGCAACACAGCATTCATGATGAACTTCATTCAAACGGTCTTTTCATAAACATTCTTTACTTTCTAGTGGAAGAAGGTGAAGAAAGAAATGGACAGGATGTTCTCAACAACAGAAAATGTATATCATAGTAATTGTCTTAAGGAGGACACTGAGAGATCAAAGTATGTACCAATGATGGTTTGGTAGTACGGTTCCAGAAGGAATGATAGAAGGGTAATTTGTTTAATTGCTCTGTTGCAGCTTTGACTAGTCGAGGTTCACTGCCACCTGAAAATAATGCGAACAGCTAAGAGAAAATTATCTAAAAACAATCTGCAAAATGTAGCAGCTGGAAAAATAATATGTTAACCACAGTGGCTATGAGCTGTAACTGTAATACACCGAAATATATGTTATACTTCCTCTGTTCCTAATTATAAGTCGTTGGGAACAGAGTGAGTATGATAACTCTTAAGAAACCCTCTTGTAGGTGGGTTGCTAAATTAAAGAACCCTTCATTTCCAATTGATGCAAAATGAACTACCTCCTCGCTGATGGATGTGTGCATCAATCGATGCGAAGGCCGGGGGTATACCCTTCCTTTCCAGAAAAAAAAACTTGCTGTGAACAATTTTAATATATTTTCTAGGAAAGGGTGCTCAACCAACAAGAGCTGTTTATGGTATTTTAATGTGTTTTCTTTTTCTTCCAAGCATATTAAAAAGTGGGAAAAGAGTGCAGTGATAGCATCTAGATATAAAATCAATGCTAACGAGTGATTGATAGAAAACTACCACTTTAGGGATTTGCGTCCCATTGAACTACCACTTTAAAAGAAGTGACCGAAAACTACCAAAATTTTGTAATTTCGTGACTAAAAACTACCACTTTCAGATAATATCCAGTTTAAACGTGTTTATGACAGGCAGGGCCCATCTGTTAGCGCTGACGTGGCGTCAAAATCAACTTCACAGGGCGTCCGGCAGGGGCGGCTGCGTCGGCCTTGCCAGAACTGGGTGGCTGTTACGCGCGACGGGGCGCTGGAGGCCCGGGGCGACGGCGGCGAGCGCCGGCGTCGGGCGGCGGCTAGCAGCAGCAGCCCGGAGCGGCAGCAGCAGGCATCGCGGGCGGAGCGGCGCGGGACGGCTGTGGCGCAGGCGGGCGGCGGTGGCGCGGCTCGGCAAGTCGCCGGCGGGGCACGCGCGGGTGGCGCGGCGGCGGGCTGCGATGCAGCAGCAGCAGCACGCATCAGCAAGGAGAGCAGGGGAGCGCGGCAGCCAACGGCGGGGCGCGGGTGAGCGAGGGAGCTGCGAGAGGTTGGCGGGGCGCGCGGCGCCAGCGCAGGCGTGCGAGGCGAGCGCAGCAGCAGGCCGAGGTGGGGGCGCGACGCCGGGCCCTCCCTGCTGAGCCCGGTGGACGGCGGCGGAGGTGGCGCGCAGGTGCGCACACAAGGTGTTTGGGAAAATGCCACAGAGAGAAGGAAGAAGAAGGAGGTTGACGCTGACAGATGGGCCCTGCTTGTCATAAACACGTTTAAATTGTCTAAACTGGATATTATCTGAAAGTGGTAGTTTTTAGTTACGAAATTAGAAAATTTTGGTAGTTTTTGGTCACTTTTTTTAAAGCGGCTGTTCTGTGGGACGCAAATCCCTAAAGTGGTAGTTTTTTGTCAATCACTCAATGCTAACAGAACATGAAAGTAGAAAATTTCTTCTTCATCTTGGTACTAATTTGAAATAGGAATAGCCAGCCCTTTTATTAAGTGCAATCAGTCAATGGTAGGAGTAAGTTTTTTCCGAGCAAAAATGTAGTAAGTGATTCAGTTTTGTGCAAAACTTTGTTTACTCTTGCTAACCCAAGTGTCCAGTGCACTGCCCCTACATTATCTGGGAATTACTTAAATGCATGTAAAAGCTCTTAGAACTGAAATTATTACAAGTGAACATAAAATTTAAGTTTGACTACCCCACTAGGGCCATGGAGAAAAAAAAAAGAAGATGTGATACAACTAGCATCAACTAAATAATGCAACAATTTTCTGGTATGTAGTAAAATCTGGCTCCACGGATCGTGCGGTGCACATACCTAGAGCAGTACACCAGAGTCCTGCAAGAGCATCTATATACTTTTTCCCATTGATATCATAGACATATGCACCCTGTAATATGAGTTGCGGAGTGTAAGATAGAACTTTCAAGTTACAATCACTGCAATTTACAGACAAGTGAACATTAAAGCAATGGAAGGGCCCAGAACCTCAGATCTATCGATAACCAGGGGATGCACATCGGTGCTCTGCCATCCAGCTGTGAATGGAGCCAGCATGCCATGCCCCTTGAACCTGGAAAAATGTTGCAGCATCAGTAGAAAATATACACCGTAAATATAATCCATGTGAAGCTTGAAAGCATCCAATCGCGCAACAGAGCGTGGCACACTAACATTTCTGCTCATGGAGATTTTACTCACCCGATTTCTTCCGTCGAGTCGGCCTGAAGAGACGGCTCAGAGCTGAAACCCCTGGCTGATGCCTCTGAAAAACTATGCAGCCCATGCCAGCTTCCAGCGCTGGCTACATATTTCACTAAGCTCTCAGCCTGTGCGGTAAGAGGGAAGAAGAAAAACAAAATGAAAGATCAGACATGTTAACTTTCCCCTGTTGAATTTTTTTACACACGTCCTAGTGTAAAAGCTTGGGAACTGACGAACAGAAACAGATCCCCAGGAACTGCTCTATCGCTGTCGCTCCAGAACCGATCGAAGAAAAAGGAACATCTTGAATCGATCAAGAGAAAAGGAGCATCTTGAATCGATCGTAATCTACCGCGCCACTTATGCCTCGGACAAATAAGGAGCACCTCTCGCGTTCCTGGATGATGGGAGCAGGAGCAGGTACCTCTTTCTCCCCCACATCAACAGTCTCGATAGGCAATCGATAAGAGAATGAAAGGGAATCGCGGTCACCTTGGATCTGAGGAGGCAGCCGCGGGCAGTCATTATCTCCCCTGGTTTCCGTCCACCTTCACTCACCTGTAACCTTGGAAGGAAGCGACAAGAGGAGTGGCAAAAGGATGTCAGGGAGATAATGGAATTTATAGGCCCGGTGGAAACGGAACGGGACGGAGGGCCATCCCGTCAGACCGGTAGATGGCCGTTGGATCAAAGCCCACGCAATCGTTAGATCAGGACAGTGGCCAGCATGCACCATCAGTGGGGAGTTACCAAAACTAAAAGCAATTACTACGTGGGATTCACTGACTACCCCCTGCTTTGATTCTTCCAGATTTTTAGGGAACAAATTTCGGTTGCTATGGAGACTAGTAGACTCCCGTGCGTTGCCACGCGCATTTTCAAAAAATTTATTCGTTACATATATAAGCATAAGACATGTCAAATTTCACATGTATAGAGAAAATAGCCAGACAACAAATACTTGAAATACACTTCACTTGTAATTGATTTTGATTCTTTTTAAAATTCGACGATGTATACTATCACATTTGATGCACAAAATAAAGTGGTACAAAAACATATCACTCTGTAGTGTGTAATATGCCTTACAAATGATAGATGGCCCTTTTTTTGTGGAAAAGACTCTAGATCATATATTAAAGAACGCCGGTGGTACAAGCACTCCAAAGAAAACAGAAGTTATAACTGAGTCATTGGGGCTTCGACCCACCACAAACTTCGATGCGGGCTGAACGCGTGCCGCCGAGCCACCTCCACCGCTCCAACGTGGAGCCGGCGTGACCTTGTAGAGTGCGGATGAGTTCTTCATGGCCGAGAAGTCATCAACATCGGCCAGTAGGATCAATAGGATCAAGATGCCATCTACTACATACAAAAATACTACATAGACAGAGGTTAGCAAGGTGGTAACAATATGCCAGCAACCCTCGTGTCCACATGTTTTCAGGTCATCATAAAGTTTGGCGACCCCGAAATCTAAGATCTTAGGATTGAGATTGGCATCAAGTAACATATTGCTGGCCTTGATGTCCCTGTGCGCAACACAAATGCTAGATTCTTCATGAAGATAGGCCAGACCTCTTGCAATGCCTAAGCATATCGCAAAACGTGTCGGCCAATCTAAGCTTGACTTCCCTTTGCATGCAAATGTAGGTTTAAGTCCTTAGTTGTCTATACGAAGCCTGATTCTGCAGATCTGTAGCCGCATCAATGAAAAGAATCTGTACCAAATAGGGCAAGGTCCAGGCTCCCATTCTCCGGGTACTCATAACCAGCATCAACCATACAACTTCACAAGATTACAGTGTTGCACTCCAGATATCTATTTCCGTTGCAAATTCCATTTTTCTCTAATATGATGCTTTAGACAGCTACTTCACTGCCATGAACCTAGCTACCATCAGTTAACTTTCCCTACAAAAAGGCACCATTTTTCGACAACAGAAGTTTCAGCCACCGCACTGTCAAACATCATTTCCTCCATGTATGTTGCAATAATAGTGTTTTAAATAGCGGGCTCTACCAAATAGCGGCGGTCTTTCAAAACAGTTATAGTGGAGCGATAGCGAGCTCTAGCAGGCTAATATTAGCGGACTATTGTACATGAGTACCATTTAGCGGCACCCTGCTGAAAAGGCTATGGCGGGGCTATTTAAAACCATGCATAAATCCCCCCGCCCCCTCTTTTCTAGGAATTTAATTGCAAGTTACTTCACAAACATTTTTTTAAAAGAAAATTTAAAATTGTACGGACGGGATGAACGAACCATATACTGACCCATATCCTCCTTGACCAAGAAGATTATCAGGACTGAAATTATCAATAGTTGACCACAGTTCACGAGAACTGAGAGAATTAGGTCTTCTCACAGCATATTTGTATATCTCTGCAAGAGGTCAAAGAGACATAACAAGCTTACTTATGTAAGCACTAAGCAGTCCAGCAAATCACGGACAAAGATGGTTACCACTGGCTTACTGGAAGAGGAGATCATGTTTGCTATTTGCTAGAGTTTTACTGCAAATTAGTTCAGTATGTACGAAGCTGCTGCTAGTTAACATGATTTTGAGTTTTTTTTGACATTTCCTTAAATGGTTATACGCAACTTCTGGTAACACACCACACATAGTTTTCATTCTCTACAAGAACTGGAGAAGTACAGATGCACATAACTAAAAGCTACTCCCTCCAATCCCAAAAAAGTGTCGTGGTTTTCATTCTGTACAAGAAATAGAGATGTTTGGACATCCCGCATGATGTCACGCCAATGATATGTTGGAAATATGCCCTAGAGGCAATAATAAAGTGGTTATTATTATATTTCTGTGTTCATGATAATTGTCTATTGTTCATGCTATAGTTGTATTAACCGGAAACCGTAATACATGTGTGAATACATAGGTCGTAATATGTCCCTAGTAAGCCTCTAGTTGACTAGCTCCTTGATCAATAGATGGTCATGGTTTCCTGACCATGGACATTGGATGTCATTGATAACGGGATCACATCATTAGAAGAATGATGTGATGGAAAAGTCCCAATCCTAAGCATAGCACAAGATCGTGTAGTTCATCTGCTAAAACTTTTCTAATGTCAAGTATCATTTCCTTAGACCATGAGATTGTGCAACTCCCGGATACTGTAGAAATGCTTTGGGTGTACCAAACGTCACAACATAACTGGGTGGCTATAAAGGTGCACAACAGGTATCTCCGAAAGTATTTGTTGGGTTGACACGAATCGAGACTGGGATTTGTCACTCCGTATGACGGAGGGGTATCTCTGGGCCCACTCGGTAATGCATCATCATAACGAGCTCAATGTGACTAAGGAGTTAGCCACGGGATAATGCATTACAGAACGAGTAAAGAGACTTGCCCGTAACGAGATTGAACGAGGTATAGAGATACCGACGATTGAATCTCGGGCAAGTAACATACCGATGGACAAAGGGAATTGTATACGGGATTGATTGAATCCTCGACATCGTGGAACATGTGGGAGCCAACATGGATATCCAGATCCCGCTGTTGGTTATTGGCCGGAGAGATGTCTCGGTCATGTCTGCATGGTTCCCGAACCCGTAGGGTCTACACACTTAAGGTTCGGTGACGCTAGAGTTGTTATGGGAAATAGTATGTGGCTACCGAAGGTTGTTCGTAGTCTCGGATGAGATCCCGTACGTCACGAGGAGTTCCGTAATGGTCCCGAGGTGAAGTCCAGTTTCAGTCGCCGGAATGGTTTCGGGGGTTATCGGTATTGTACCGGGACCACCGGAAGGTGTCCCGGGGTCCACAGGGTGGGGCCACCTGCCACAGTGGGCCTAGTGGTCTAAACAAGGGAGGGAACAAGCCCCTGGTGGGCTGGTGCGCCCCCCAAGGGTCCCAAGGCGCCTAGGGTTGGAAACCCTAGGGGTGGGGGCGCCTCCCACATGCTTGGGGGGCAAGTTACCCTCCCTTGGCCGTCGCCCCTGCCGGTGTCAAAACCGGCGGATCTCGGGTAGGGGGTCCCGAACTATGCGTCTGAGGTTGATGGTACCAGGAGATAGGGGACACGATGTTTACCTAGGTTCAGGCCCTCTTGATGGAGGTAAAACCCTACGTCCTACTTGATTAATATCGATGAGTATAGGGGTTACAAGAGTTGATCTACCATGAGATCGTAATGGTAAAACCCTAGAAGTCTAGCCTATGTGTTTATGATCGTTTCTACAGACTAAAACCCTCCGGTTTATATAGACACTGGAGGAGACTAGGGTTATACAAAGTCAGTTACAGAGAAAGGAATCTTCATATCTGAACACCAAGCTTGCCATCCACGCTAAGGAGAGTCCCATCCGGACACGGGTGAAAGTCTTCTGACTTGCATCTTCATAGCCCATCAGTCGGGCCCATGTCCAAGAGGCGGGACGCCCGAGGACCCCTTAGTCCAGGACTCCCTCAGTAGCCCCCGAACCAGTCTTCCAATGATGATGTGTCCGGCGCGCAGGTTGTCTTCGGCATTGCAAGGCGGGTTCCTCCTCTGATTACTTCAAAGTCCCTGACTTAAAGAGCAATATTTGGCTTTCCATTTAATGTCGCACCCATCGGCTTTCACGCCTTCCTGACTCCAGCCTCCACGTGTCGAGCGAATACGAGAGGTCGGGGTATTTTTGCACATATCACCCTGACCATACAAGAAAGGCGTCTATTTAAAAAGATCAGATCTCAGATCCATTCCACACCTTGCAAAAAAAATCCTCAGAGCTTTCTAGGAGAAACCACTCCAACATGGCTAGCGCTCCCGGCTCTTCCTCTCGCCCCCACGGCTCCGAAAAAGGTGATTGGGAGGAATGTTCCATATCTCACGGTTAGCTGATGAAGCTGCAAAAGCAGGGCTTTCTTCCCCCCGCGGATCTAGTCCCCGTCCGAGCAGGATCGACGTCCTTCAACGGCGGGGTTCAGGCGGAGAATGTCCCCAATCCATCCAGGGGGAACGAGTGTGCTTCGTTCCCTACTTGCTAAGAGGCGTCGGATTTCCAATCCACCCATTCCTCCGATGACTTCTGGAGTATTATGGCCTCCAACTGCACAATTTTACTCCTGCCTCCATCCTGCACATTGCGGGTTACGTTGCTCTTTGCGAGCTATTCTTGGGCTGTGAGGCCCATTTTGAATTATGGAGGATACTGTTCTGCCTCGTCCCCCGTAACCAAGGGGGATCAATATTCAAAGTGGGAGGAGCCAAGGTATGGCGCATCGCCGGGACCGGATACCTGTCTGGCACGCCGAAGAAGGCATCCGAAGATTGGCCTTCCGAATGGTTCTATATTGACGACGTCGCTCTTCCTGACCCAGTCCGAATGGGTCTCCCCGAATTTTCAAGTGCTCCATTGAAGAAACGCCACAGTTGGCGCCCTCGGAACCTCGAGGAGGAGGATAGCATAGAAGTCGGTCAGTTGATGGGCAAGATTAAGATGCTCGCCCAGTCCGGATTATCAATAATTGAGGTAATGGCGATTTCTATAGTGCGGGGGGTCCAACCACTCCAATACAGAGGGCTTCCCATGTGGCACTATAATGGGAAATATGACGCCTCACGCTGCAGTTGGAAGGATCCGAAAACCCCCGCCGCTTTGGCCAAAATATTGGTCGAACTGTACAAAGGGGAGAAGGAGGAGTTCACTCGTCTCCAATGTCGAGATGGATTTTCCATGTATAATCCTCCTAGCTGGGTAAGTTCCACTCCCACCATTTTACTCAATCCTCTCCTTGAATCATTTTTAATGGATAGTAACCTATCCACTCGCAACAGGAATGGTGGAAGGCTACCGAGGGGATCCATAGCCCCGCCCCCAGCCGGAGGGTCACAATCGTGACCTTGACCTCGGATTTGAAGAAGATCCGGACATATTTGTGGAGCTCGAGAATGGAGTATTCTACCAGACGAGCTATGATGGTACGGAAGTGCCCATCATTGCCGATTATCCTGGCCTCCTTCCTGCTTTGCATGTAAGTAATTTTAAATGACACCTTCTTCGAAAGAGCTTCCTTATTATGCCTCACCCACCGCACTATTTCATGCTCCAAAGGGGAGGCGCTCGACGCCGCAATGCGCACCAGAAGCATCTCCGAGGAGAGCGGTGCCCGCGCCGAGCACATCTTCGAAGAGAAAGGCAAATGACAATAGAAAGGACCTTCATCAAACAGGTAAGGCTTTTCTTTTTTTTAAATACGCCTCCCGGTCGTCATATCAAATCGTGATGCCATCCGCCGCATTCTATCAGGAAAAGTGTCCGTCGGACTATGCCCGGGGATCATGCCGGTCGTGCCTCCAGTAGTCGGGTTCCAGACCCTGCCCTAAGGACGGGGGCTGACACGGGAGTGGCGCCGGACTGTCCTTCCACAGAGGATTCAGACGATATGTCTGTCATGAACTCTGAAGTTGAGAGCGCCATGAATCATCATCTTCGGAGGGCCGCTCTCCGTGACCCCGACTTTTCAAAGGAGGCATTCGATGCCTTCAGCTCGGCCGATGCGTACATCCGAGCTGCTTAGGATGGACTTGCTAGAGCCACGGACCAGCATCTAAAAGATATGCGGGTAAGTGTAGATTTAGTAATCATATACCAGTAGCCCCGAGACTTAAAGCAGTTGATACAACTGATTTAAGGATCATCGTATAATCTGGCACTTATGGAGAAGAATAGCCTGTTGTCTCAAGAGCTGGCAAGGTGTCAGACTCAGCTAACTGCGGCTACCGCCGAATTGGAAAAGTCCAAGGAGGCACCTCCTGGTAATGCTTCTCCCCGTGAGAAAAAGTATAATCGTATACCAGCTGCATTAATACTGTTGTGTTTCTGTTGACAGAATTAGTAGAGCAACTGAGAGGGAAACTGAAGGAAGCCCAGGCTGGTGAACAAGAGGCAAAAAGGCAATATGCGGCAGGCGAACGCGTGCTGACGCGGGCCAGGGATGAAAAGAACAAGTTGCAGGATTCCCATACCCAACTGGGCGAAGAACTGAAAGATGTTCGAGCCCAGCTAGCTGAAGCCGTTAAGGAGAATAGGAGGCTACAAGGCGGCATATTCAGTATGCTTTTCAAACTTGCCTCCCTATAGTTCGGTGAGGGCCGGAGCTGACAGATTTATGTCTGCAGGTATGCTGACTGGCCGCCCCGAAGAGGAAATGTCCGGATCTCAAGGCGACCTGCTACAAGAGCTGTCCCAGATGCATGAGCGAGTTCGACAAGCAATGCAGAGTGTTGCCAAGGCTTTATGGCCATCCGCCACTCCTCCAGGAGGTATGGCGGAGCTCCTGGAGCTGTTCAAAGGGGCACGGCGGTGTATTCAATTATGCAAGATATTAGCCTACCGGGAAGGTGCGCGAGAGGCCTGGGCCATGGTAAAAACATGGTATACCAAGCTTGATCCAAATCATATGGCCCGGGTCGGACCTCTAGGGTCAGATGGGAAAGAAATTCCCGTTAATTTGGTATATGACCAAGTATAAGTAGCCGCCAAATATTTCCAGCAGGATTGTAAGCTAGACAGCCTGTTGACGGTATAGAGGAGGAAATTTTTGAGTCCAAGTGACTATGTACTTTCCTTGACATATTCGTCCCTAGCCGCGAATTGTAAAACGATTGGCATGGCCGACCTTTTCGCTTCGACCTATGGACCCGAAGGTCCGGAGTGTTTCCAAATACCTGAGCGGCAAAATAGACCAGGGTATGCATTGAAACCAGGCATAGGGGTCATAGTTGCTTGAATAGACAAGTTGTATCCAGCTAGCTATGTTATATTACATTGTGATTGTAAGAAACATCTTCTAGAGAGAATAGTTCCATTAAGGGTTCCTTTCCCTGGGTGTACATGCGTTGATGTGCATGTCCAAACTATGATTGAAAAGATCGCAGTATACGTAACATCTGGGGGTTCATAGTGGGAGAAATATAAAAACATCTTTAGTCCGCCGACGAAATATTCCCTTAAGAACGCTAGCTTTCGGCTTCACCCAGTCTGAGGTACACATCCGGATGACCCGACAGTAGCAATTGCAGAGGTGATCCCTTTATGCCCTAGCCGAACTAACGGGAACGTAGGGCATAAGCACAGGAGCCACGCAACCCAGCTTGGCCAAAACTTAAGTCATATCGATGCATATAATGGTGAAAAAGGTACATATGAGGAGAAAACACACATGTGATGAGCTTGATGCTCAAAAAAATAACAATAATAAGCTTCTGTGTAAGAAGCCCCCAGGTATAATGGATGTTTACATTTGAAGATGTGTACGTCATATGTGCATGTTTTTGGTCGTACGAAAGCTTTACGGCTAAAAAAAGAAAAAGCAAAAAGAGAGGAGAAGAAATAATGGAGACAATATGGAGAAGGAGACGAACGAAGAGTTTGGCGCTAGGCATAGAATCTTCGGAGTCTGGCCGCGTTCCAGGGGTTTGGCTCTAGGTGATTATCTGATGCATCATGCATGAGGTACGCTCCTCCAGTGAGAACTTCGTCAATGATGAATGGACCCTCCCACTTGGGCTTGAGTTTGTCCTTTTTCTTCTCCGGCAAGCGTA